AGACCGTATTTCACAAGCCGGAGAATAAACAGCCTTGCTCATCTCTTGAATTAGAAATGAACAGAGCACAAGGGATGAAACTCATGCTAATTTTAGTTTTCAATTTGGCTTCAGAGATCACTCTCGTTTGATGTTTCCCCACGGTCGTGCCTGATGCGATCCGAGCTAGATAAACCTGACTAAAGCATTTGAAAATTACAACCCAAAGACCACACGGCTTATCCCCTCATATGAATATACACACACACAAACATGTTTGGAAAACCTATTTGACTTTAATCAAGACATTTCAAAGAGGAAATCTCACCTCTGATATGAACAAGTTACATTACACAAACAAATATTCGCCAAAGAAGCAAATACGCCGTGACAATGTTGCTTATTGTTCGCAATTGCCGATGTTATTAGCAATCTTGCAGGTCGCATTTTACACCTCCCACCCAGTCCCCTTCAAAAGAGAAACATGACAATAGAGGCTTATCAGACAAGCAAACATTTTCTTTAGCGAAATAAATTAAATTTTCAAGTGACCACTGGTCGATGCTATACAAAGTGACCGCAGAAAGACGAAAACAGTAATTTCAAAAGGAAAATACAGGTGTGTTCGATATGTTGCTGAACCTAACATTTGTCAAACAATCACGTCAATTTCATGCCGATTGCATGTCAATATCGGAGTAAAAAGCCTATCATGGGACAAGAGGGAGATTGGAACACCTGCGTCAAACTGGGACTATCATCATATCACTTGCAGTCTGCTACCACCAGTAACGTTGTTCAAACCAAGAAATATTTTTAACCAGTTTATTAGGATTTTTTATAAATCTGGAAGTACTTGAAACTCTTTTGGTGGCAGTTGTCACAGCACGTACTTAATCAAATAAGTTAAGTTCAAAACATGTCAGTTTTCTGCTATAAAAAAGTCACATGAAATATGATTATTTTCTCATTTCAAAGATTTAAAAACTCCTTGATTTACACTGAAATGAATTTCCTTAGGATATATAAACGGACCAATATATTAGTTCACCGATAGATGTACGACCGTTTTTCGATAATTTACAATTTCAAACAATATCTATATTATGATCAATAACTTTTTCAAATTTATTTTGCAAAAATCACGCTTTGTTCCCACATTTTCTAGCCGTTAGGTTGGTGTAAAACATACTTAATTGGTGGATCTCATAGCGCAGGAAGCTCAACATCATTTCAAGCGGGCCACAATAAACACATCATCTCATTGCATGAGGTTTTTGTCAAACATGTACTGTAACCGTCGGAGGTCATAGGCCCCCGAAGTCGCTGTTGAGCGCGCTGGATTTTATTTCAAAGCCACATTGATAATGTCATCGTTATAAAAACGATCACTAAAATGTTAAGATCATTCCAATATTGAAAATATTTTATCTATGTATGTGAGAATGTGTTGTTAAACCTTTCCGAAGTGTGTTTTTAAAGGCAGACCTAATATATTACTAAACAATATACCGTCACTTTTTATAGAAACAAAAGACTTTTTTACGGATTCGCTTCCTGAAAAATATAGACATTTCTTGCTCGTCATGTGCACAATGACGTAACATTACATTACAAGGTTTCATCATTCAAGGCCTCTGTAAAGCTTTCAAAACGTTTTTAAGACATGAACAATTCACTTGCCTTTGCATGTGTTTGTGCCGGGTGCCTTCATTTCGCGAACGTATGGTATCGTCACTTTGTAAACTGATTCACACATGTTCATTATAAAGTCAGAATCGTACGATGGACTCTCTTTTAGCGGAGATTTGTTATGAATATGGAATGGGTTTTGTCGCTTATTACCATCACTAGTTTTCTTCCTTACAGCGTTCCTTGAAGCGTGTTAGTGATTGTTGTGCCTCTTTTATTCAGAGATGACGCACTTTCAAAACACATCAATATAATCATCCAACTCATCTCAAAAACATCCTCATCGTAATTATTACATGGAGATATTAGCTGCGCACATGCACATATTATTTTCAGACAGATGTGTAAATCAGTCGGCATATTTCACCGCCGAAAGCATGTAAACCGATCTCTAAACACGTGTGGCCTGGGTAACCGCCATCTTGTTTCGGGGTAATCATGCTGAAAAACAAAATTGCGACAACATTTGTTTCAAATATTGATGAGCGCGATTAGTCGATCGCAAAATGCCCTGAATAGCAATTCCCTATCTTGCCCTCAGCCCGTTATCGCTCGAATCAAACGATTTCAAAGATTAATTGCTGGCCCAATCTTCACCGACGGGCCTATTAGGAAACAAGGTGATCCCAAACACCGGAAATGATAGGTTCTTTTCATCGAGTTCCCCTAACGACAACTTCCAATGAACAAATGGCGATTTTTCTCGTAACGCGTGCATGGAGCACGCGCTCTTTTGCCGCGACCTTTCGTCGTGAGCACATGGCATTTGTCCTCGCGTTTTGCTCTTGCTTGTACCCGTTTGTTGCAAGAACACAAGTCTCTTTTCATGAAAATTTAATTTTTCGATCAAGAAACGCCAAATTGCAGGTGAGCTGATGAAAGGTGTGTGTATCTAGGCTCGCTAAACGAGCATTTTCGATCCCATTTTACTAATTACTTTAGGTCACCTGGTTTGATCTCCAGCGGAGAACGCAATTGAAGAATGACGGTAATGAAGTCTTGAAAGCAGACGGAAATTATATATTGTAATGAGCCAATCCGAAAAGCATAAGCCGATTCATTCCTTATCTGTTAGTAATCTCTTATCTGGTTTGTGCAATCGCTGTTAGTGACAAGTGATTTGAATTCGAATCGCGTGACGTCATTCAATAACGTTTCCTTCAAACAACATGGAGCAAACGCGTAATAACAAAGATTAATATTATCAAGGTATTCTACGTTATTGTAATCTGTGTAACAGTGTCATTTTTAATTTCGAAATGTTCCGATTTCATCGTCTTGGTCTGATCCGTTTTATATTTGTTTTGTTTCTTTACATCCCTAGACGTGTTGTCATAAAGTATAATTATATATCACACCCTTGACTACCTGACGTAGGCTGCTCTTGAAGCTAAAAAACATATGAAAACTGAGAAAAGTAGTCTTATCTGAAATGTTCAAAATTGAAATTGAAACCGTGAAAATAGCTTTTCGTCTACACACTTAAACAGTGTTTTTAAATTTAGCGTATTTGGATTGGAATGTTAGACAGAATGTTTTAGGTGTATTTCAACAAGTGCAAGACAAACAACACAAGACACGGAACCATCACTTTCCGGAATTGGATCCAAGTAAATTGATCCCTTTCAAGCATTTTCAAAACCTAGTCCATCACAAGGGTAATTTATTGAACGCTGTCAGGGATGTTTTCTCTGTTATAATGGTGTTTGATAAATACCCTATATATCTCAAGAAATTGAAAATTATTTTCGGATAAAAAGGAAAGTTTGAAGCCAATTGTTAAGGAAAAGAAGAGAAGTGATACAAATATATTGCTCTCACAAGCAATCTGACACCTTTTTGGGGCGATGCCAACAATGAATTTGATATGGACGTAATATATGAGCAAATGCTGAACAGCTATTTCTCGCCTTTTGCTTCTTATTCGAGTTTTAGCACTTTCTGAGGTCGCGATTTCACACGTCACTTTGGCACTTTCCACAAGCGAACATAAAATCGATTTTGCGTGAAATTGACAATTCGAAGTTGGTGAAAAAGTTTCAGAAAGTGATCTAACAACTAGCCCCTTTGACAGAATTAATGACTCCGGCTTGGAGGACCGTATGAGTCGAGGCACCTACTACTTGACAACGTAGAGCTGGGCTGTGGCGGTTTTTTATTTTCAAAAACAGTACAGAACTTCAGAAGTACTTGTCATTTATATGGAATCAAGATTTGATTTTTTATTACAAAGTGGCTTTATCAAAATCTGGCTTTTCTTGCAATTATAGAGAAAATATCACTTTTGCTGAAATTTACTGCTCTTTCCAAAAGCAGAGGCTCCAGAAATGGTAAATTTGATTTCAATTGGAGTTGGCCCGAAAGTTAACTAATTATGTCGATCAATTTCAAACTGCATCAATCGTTATTTAGAAACGGATGTCAATTTTATTCTGGTCAATTCTAAATCGGTGTCAGTTAACACGACCCATGTCAAGATTGTAGTAAGTTAATATTTTATAGTATTATTGAATAAACTTTATTGAATAAAACTAAACACACGATGAAATCGTATGTAAATTAGTTAAAACCATAGATAAATAATTATTATGACCTTATGTAATGTCTGATGTATATGAAGTCATGACACATTGCAGTGTTTTATCACAAAATGTTCTTTTCCACAAATTCTAATTTCTACAATCATTTATAAGATTATATGACAAACATAAACGCACTGTATCCGCATATAGACATTGTTGGTATATGTTATTTACATTCAGTAAGTATATATGTCCTAGTTATGGTTTAATAATAAGCTAATTCATTACTTTAAAAGGTAAGGTGCTGTTCTGAAATAAGAGAAAATATAATGTTATACATAGCACATAAATACACTATAAAATGAATACCAATATATAAAGTATCGTACTGTCATCCAGACAGAATAGCTGAACGAATCGTTCTACTTTATCAAAGAAATTGTGGCGTACAAACCTGCTGAAAACTGGTGCATTATATTAAGCCCCGATTAGGCAGTTTAAATAAGTGCTTCTTTGAAAACAATAACAAATGTTTCCGGATGTCATTGTTGTAAAAAAAAAGATTACATGTTTTCATAATATTTTTGTTTTCTTCTTTATATTACATAAATATTGAAACTGAAATGTGCTATATTCTCATTCCTGACTCTGAAGGTACCACACGCAAATAACAATTCGTTTTAGCTTCTTGGTGACACATGTACGCTTTTTGATAGGTAGGTATGCTACAATATTCCTTTGCGCCGTACTTGTTGATCCTCTGGATCAAAGTTGTCTTGCCTAATGTATATCCTATTTCCTTTCCAGCACTGAGTCCCGATCTGTCCCCCCGCATCTCTCCCCAGGGGTCCCCCGTGACGGTATGCGCTACAAAATCCCCCTCCCCCATGCTCAGCCACTCTATCGACATTTCTGTGGCTTCCCCTGGGTCGGGCCGAAGCTGCTCTCCAAGTCCCGGGGGTGGCCCGGCCAAGAAGCCCTGCCCTGGGCTACTGTGTGTTGTGTGTGGGGACACCTCTAGCGGCAAACACTATGGCATTCTGGCATGCAATGGCTGCAGTGGATTTTTCAAGAGAAGTGTTCGAAGAAAACTAATATACAGGTATGCACGCAACGATGTCAAAATAAAATTGACTGAACTACAAATAGTTTCAAAGCACTTCAATAAATTAGAAAATAATGTCGTTTTTATGAACACTATTGATATACACCATACTAACCACAATTTAAAATAATTAAGTACAAATCTAATGACACTTAGATAAGCTATTGTAGCAAGCTTAGCAACAAAAACTATTTCGCAAAGGCGAGGCAAACCTGTCACTGTCATGCACAAATGAATGTTTAAATCGGGGCATTGAAAGTTAGATGCTTCAATTCAATATTTTTGTCTGTACATTTAAACCAGCATTCGTTGTTTTATGGTACTGTCTTCTGTAGGTTCCAGGTATTTATGGTTTTATGGTACTGTCTGCTGTAGGTGCAGGTATTCATGGTTCTATGGTACTGTCTGCTGTAGGTGCAGGTATTCATGGTTTATGGTACTGTCTGCTGTAGGTGCAGGTATTCATGGTTCTATGGTACTGTCTGCTGTAGGTGCAGGTATTCATGGTTTATGGTACTGTCTGCTGTAGGTGCAGGTATTCATGGTTCTATGGTACTGTCTGCTGTAGGTGCAGGTATTCATGGTTCTATGGTACTGTTTGCTGTAGGTGCAGGTATTCATGGTTCTATGGTACTGTCTGCTGTAGGTGCAGGTATTCATGGTTTATGGTACTGTTTGCTGTAGGTGCAGGTATTCATGGTTCTATGGTACTGTCTGCTGTAGGGGCAGGTATTCATGGTTTATGGTACTGTCTGCTGTAGGGGCAGGTATTCATGGTTTATGGTACTGTTTGCTGCAGGTGCCAGGCAGGGACGGGTCTGTGTAACGTGGACAAGGCGCACCGGAACCAGTGCCAGGCGTGCCGCCTCAAGAAGTGTCTCACCATGGGGATGAACAAGGATGGTACGTATCTGTCTTACACTGTATAGTCGTCCCTCAGACGGGAATAGGCACCACCGGATGTCAAGGAACGTATGTATCTGTCATACACCATATAGTCGTCCCTCAGATGGGGAACGTGCACCACTGAATGTCAAGGATGACAACAGATTGGATCTCAAATCTTACAATTTAATCCTATGAACAGGACTCAACACTTCTGGGACATGACAAGTCTCAGTTTATCATGACTGACGCGGGGGCCAATTAAATTCACTGCGGCGAATAGGTTTAGATCCTATCTGTAGGCAGTGTCTATCACACAGCATTGCAAAGAAAAGTAAACTTTAAGTAAATCTGAGTCTAGCTTGCTATTTATTTAATTTCTAGATTTATGGAAGAAACTTACTGTGAAACAATGTATTCCAGTGGCAGTCAAGATTGTTTTGTAAGATACTGTTGTCAAAAGTATGACATATGTTGATATTAATTATACGACAAAGAATGGGCACACTCTCGTCTCTCCCTGAATCTTCCGGCCAACGCGAACATTTATGGCGTATTGATCTGATCACGTGACACCGATTAAACTTACAGTAACTTCAACTATCGTCTTTCTACTGGCGAACATCGTTCCTACGCCCGAAGGTAAACGCAATCAAGGGGAAATCACATTAGGAATTAATTTTATTTGCTACAAAACATTAAATCCCTCTTGAAGGAGATCTAATTTGTGACCTGGAGCGGCACGCGTGCAAGTCACGTGACGCGGGAAATTAAAAAGCAGAATCAAAATGATGGAATTACGGACTCATCGTAATGGAAAAATACAAAATAGTTTTACCAGAGCGTTTCCCGATTGTTGTCAATTATGATAATATTGCTAAATGTCAAGTGCTGTTATCGGTTTAATTCCTCGGAAGCGTTTTGTAGTCAGGGAATTTGTTCTCCGGTGAAATAATCCTCCAAATCAATGGCAGATGATAATTTGTCTTGGTATTTACATTGCGGCGTCGGTGTAAGTGCTCTTGCGATTTGCCATGATGACATGAAGTTTGTTATCTGATAACTTACCATTGTTAAAGTTTATGACAAAAGTTAATAATGATAAGACGTGTCATCTCACTAAAATACATCAGAGACCGTAGAATCTCCGAGTTATTCATATCTGATGGAAAGCAGTTGAAGTGTATTACCAAAATAAACATTATAGCATGCTGGGATTGCATCCCATTGTTGTACACTCTTGTGTTGAAGTGAAAAAAAATATAAAAGAAAGAAATTATTTGGTCTTTGAATTTGGCAATTAATTAAAATTGCAATCGATTACACCGCAGAAATATCCCCAAAAATTTATACATGTTCCCGTGATATTTTTATTAAAATTCTGTTGAAACCGCGACAAATGTGTGTAATTTTCTCTTGGAGATTTTGATGGACATAAAAATTACGGAACAAGGGAACAAACTAGTAAAACACTATTTTTTTTAAGATATGCAAGTTTTTCATAATCTTGTCATATCGGTTCTTGTTACATTCCTGTTAGGCTACACAGATAATATTGATGTTCCTAAAAGTTGTAAAAGTTTGTAAATTTGTTTTATATTACCCATGTGCACGTGAACGATAAGTCTGGTGTCGTGTGAAGAACGTGAATTCCATCGTGACGTATCTAGGTCACGTGTTACTGTAGGTCTTCCAGCCTTTGGGTATCGCTCGATGGCTTCCCTTAAGTACTGTGCTCGTTAAAGAGACTCCCATTGTTGTACTGCCACCGTCGACGATGTTGTCGCCATCACTTCTCCTCAATCTGAGTTCGTCTGTGTTGCAGCTGTACAGAATGAACGGCAGCCCCGCAATACAGCGCAGGTGCGCGAGGACCAGATAGATCGAGAACTGGAGCACCCCCTGGGGGCAAACAACGCCACGGTGTCCGCAACCCACCCCGCCTTTAGTCCCGGGGCGAACCACCGCTTTATGGCCAGTCTCATGACCGCGGAGACTTGCGCTAAACTCGAGCCAGAAGATTCAGGTAGAGACTATATTAAAATCAAAGAATAAACACGGTCATGTTTACGCAGATCATAACGGGAAAGGGGCAGTGTGGTAGCCTAGTGGTTAAAGTGTTCGCTCGTCACGCCGAAGACCCGGGTTCGATTCCCCAGATGGCTACAATGTTTGAAGCCCATTTCTGGTGTCCCCCGCCGTGTTTTTGCTGGAATATTGCTAAAAGCGGCGTAAAACAATACTCACTCACTCAGTCATAACGGAAAACTAGTTTTATGCAGGTCTGTGTCCACTCAAACGAGGGGCGGTATTGTCCCGAAGTTAAAAATAGTAGTGGTTTTAATAGTAGTAGTAGTAGTAGTAGTAGTAGTAGTAGTAGTAGTAGTAGTAGTAGTAGTCGATGTGGATACAAGGGTTTACTTGGGCCACACGATACCTTTCTCCGGCTCCGCAGTAACGCGTCAATTAAGGACATAGTTATCTCCCTTGGCCGGCTGCAGGCTCATCCTTTGAAATCCGCTGTGTTGGTCATCTGAAACACATGGGCTGTTCTGATTTCCCTTTTCAAAAAACATTCGCAGTTTCTTCTAATATATGTACATAAGACATGTAAGAGTAACTATTGCTGTTTGAGTACGTGAAACAACCTGATGTAGTTAACCAACCTGCTTGTGTATCACACATGTCATTTCTTCTCCAGCCATTCAAGAAGAAAATATCGATGTCACTAGCGTAGAGCAGGAGCGAGCGCCCCCTCAACAACCCCACATTTACCCAGAAATCACCCTATATCCGGCGGGGCAGGAAACCATCTACGAGTGCTCGGCACGACTTCTCTTTATGGCAGTCAAGTGGTCCAAGAACCTGCCTTCCTTTGCCAACCTCCCTTTCAGAGACCAGGTGAGGACTGTGTGATAATGTCCATCTTCCAGAGGCAAGGGAGTTAACTGACTGTAAAAGTCCAGTTTCCACCCCTGCCGAGCTAAGCTGGAATTTCTGGTTTCTATCGAAGCGTTACCAGTGGCTATTACGAGTTATGTCCCTTCCATGTCCCTCTTATTGACCAATCAGATTCCACTTCTCATATCGCTTGCATTTGCTTCAAACAAAATGGCGGCGCGCAGTCAAGAAGGTCATGATCGATAATCAAAATCTGTAATCGTTGTAATAAATTAGTTCTATTGGTCTCTTCCAGGTCATCCTTCTCGAAGAAGCCTGGAGTGAGTTGTTCCTTCTCTGTGCGATCCAGTGGTCAATGCCGATGGATGCGTGTCCACTCTTTGTGCTCCCTGACCACGCTCCCAACGCACAAAACGGAAAAATCTCTCCTTTCTCTGATATGCGCGTGCTTCAAGAGGTCATGGTCAGGTTCAAAGCCATCCAAGTCGACCCTGCAGAATTCGCCTGTCTCAAGGCCATCGTGCTCTTCAAACCAGGTAAGAATAACCCAACTTCATACCAATGCTCTGTTCATGTTTTATGTTGTTGTATCGACCTCTTACGTAATGCTTAAGTAATGATAATGGTTGCTTGATAACATTTAGCCTTCGGTCGTTCCAGTACGCGAACCATTTCATTACGATGTGATGAAAATTAATAATTGCACCTCAACGTCAATGTACAAATACCCTTTATTGAATAACTTTGCATAGGAATAAGCGCAAATACACCACTGTATGTGTTCTTTGTCTTAGGTTAACAAATACTTTTTTTATTGGAAGCAAGGACTTATCTCATTTCATGACGCGAAAATGCCTTTACTTATACGGAGTTATCTCCCTTTAGACACGCGCAGCTTGAAGGACCCGCCCCAGGTCGAGAACCTTCAGGACCAGGCTCAGGTCATGCTTGGCCAGCACATCCGGGCACAGCATCCAACACAACCCTGCAGGTACGATCAGGTCATCTTCCAAGTCTCAAAGTCACATGTCTATCTTGATGCTACGACATTCGTAACTCCTATACTTTAATATCGACTTATCACCGTAGTAACCTATTGTATACTTAACAGAGGCTTGCCTCTGTCGTAATTCCTATACTTTAACATAGACTTAGCAGAGTCGTGACTTCAATACTTTAACATAAACTTACCACAGATATAACTCTTCTATGATCTGACATGGACATGACACGGTTGCAGTGCTGAGGTCGACTTGTGAACCACGGTCACAGGGTGCGCGTCAGTTGAGCCATTTCACCTAATAAAATACAAAGCGTCGATCACTCGGGGCTGAAGTAAACATCGATTTATGAGGATAATTCCATCCGACCAACAGTTTGTTGCACAGGAAAAACTTTTTATTCAAATATTTGTCACGTTCTGTCAGTGAAGTTAATTTGGAATATTTTCTTTCAGATTTGGCCGTCTGCTGCTTCTCCTCCCAACGCTGAGATACGTTCCGTCAGACCGGATCGAGAGGCTGTTTTTTGGCAGAACTATCGGCAACACACCAATGGAGAAACTGCTTTGTGATATGTTTAAGAGTTGAAGTGTTCATAAAATTTTCAAAGACATTCGCTGGCCCACGTGGTTAGTCAGTTAAATCACGTGATCTCGATCATTTTGAAGGATATGAAGTTCTTGCAGCAGTAGTTACTTCCCTTTGGTAACACAGTCACAGTCGGATTTATACAACATTCTTCAGAATACTTTGAATTTTTGCACAGTATTTTTGTATGAAAGACGTCTTATCGCTATCCTCTTCGACTACACATTTCCCACATCTATAAATGCAAAACAATGAACCCACCCATCTCTTTAAGAATGTACATAACTTCACATGGAACATCCGATTCTATTCATGAGTATCATTGTATATTATATTTATATTACGGGCACCTGTGCAATATCTCACATTTTGTGACAAATTACGTGCTTTATGTAACTTAGAATTTTCATATACAAAACATTCTCTTGTACACAGAAAACCAAAAGAAGTCGAGTAGCTCACCACAGAGACCCTGTAAATAGTTTATTGTATATAGCTTGCATATATATCATATTGGTGTTATTTACACATTTATCCCATTATCTAGTGCTCAGTAGTCTTCAACACGAATCGTCTTCCTGCAATGTACATACGTCACTCTATTTATTATCCAATCAATTTCATGTGACTGTCTTGTGATGCTTAATCGTGTTTATCGTGTACATATAAATATAGTCATATATTGCATTGAAATAGATATGTGTATATAAGTCCCATAACTGTTCATTGTGTATCTTGTGAGACACAAATAAACCGTTCATTCGTCACAAACTACGTTTTCTTTCAGTACTGAATGTTTATAGTTTCAAGAACCATCATTTCTTCGTTCCGGAAGTGACGTCAGTACCCCGATCTCTCCTATTACTACGTTAGCACAATATTCCTCTCGCTCAACAGAGTAATTTGATTGGACGGCTATATTTAGCGTCGTTTTATTCAATGCAGACTCAAAAGAAGACTATGGTAGCATCCAGGGTATATATCCTAATAGAGTGGAGGTATAATAACCTTGGTCACCGAGGATGGGACCTAAGTCCAGTCATTCACGCTGGGGTGGGACCGTGGGTAGTCTGGTGGTGAAAGTGTTCGCGTCAATGTTGTATTACGCCGCTGTCAGCAATATTCCAGCTACATCACGGCGGCATATAGAGAATCGATTCTGGACCAGGCAAACCGGTGATTGAAAGCATCAGCAGCGTCCTACGCCATCAGGGTTGATGACGTTGGGTCAGACACGTGGCAGCCGGAGTCTGTCCAACCGATCTTCATATTCGTCGGCTCTCACCATGATATTGTTCGACCTGTTCTGATCCGGACTCCCGACACGAGACGCGCCCACTCCCACATGCTTTACTTCATATGTGAAGCTCATACGTGCTGAAAGTACAGCAACAGCAGCAGCAAAGATGTAATGTTCAACACCAGGTGTTATCGATACCAATCTGTTCAGAAATACTTTACAAGAGGAAACCTTGTTAGAATTTGATCACTGATAGTGAAATTTGCACAGGCATTTAATATTTGACTCTTTTCAAACAGAAATCGTTAGGAATACCTTTGTCCCCTGATGTGACCTGTATAGGCAGCTCCGGCCGAGGAAGTGTTTTAACTAAAGCAACAGCTTTTAATCTTGGGCCATAGAAAGACTTTCATCGTAATATACAGTGGCATCTTTGTTGAATACTGAAAGTGCACATGCGGACATCATGTAAATAGTAATCCCGTCATCGTCATCGTGAAGGGTGTCCCCATGGTAGGGTGTCCCCGTGGTACGGTGTCCCTGTGGTAGGGTGTCCCCATGGTACGGTGTCCCTGTGGTAGGGTGTCCCCGTGGTAGCGTGTCCCCGTGGTAAGGTGTCCCCGTGGTACGGTGTCCCTGTGGTAGGGTGTCCCCGTGGTACGGTGTCCCCGTTGTAGGGTGTCCCCCTGGTACGGTGTCCCCGTGGTAAGGTGTCCCTGTGGCACGGTGTCCCTGTGGTAGGATGTCCCCGTGGTAGGGTGTCCCCGTTGAAGGGGGTTCCCCTGGTACGGTGTCCCCGTGGTAAGGTGTCCCCGTGGTAATATACAGTAGCATCTTTGTTGAATACTGAAAGTGCACATGCGGACATCATGTAAATAGTAATCCCGTCATCGTGAGACCACCACAAAGTCTATCCTCGTGGGAAGGTGTCCCCGTTGTAAGCTGCCCCCTTGGTACGGTGTCCCCGTTGAAGGGTGTCCCCATGGTAGGCTGCCCCTTGGTACGGTGTCCCCGTGGTAGGGTGTCCCCATGGTACGGTGTCCCTGTGGTAGGGTGTCCCCGTGGTAGGGTGTCCCCGTGGTAAGGTGTCCCCGTGGTACGGTGTCCCTGTGGTAGGGTGTCCCCGTGGTACGGTGTCCCCGTTGAAGGGTGTCCCCCTGGTACGGTGTCCCCGTGGTAAGGTGTCCCTGTGGTACGGTGTCCCTGTGGTAGGATGTCCCCGTGGTAGGGTGTCCCCGTTGAAGGGTGTCCCCCTGGTACGGTGTCCCCGTGGTAAGGTGTCCCCGTGGTACGGTGTCCCTGTGGTAGGGTGTCCCCGTGGTACGGTGTCCCCCTTGAAGGGTGTCCCCCTGGGACGGTGTCCCCGTGGTAAGGTGTCCCCGTGGTACGGTGTCCCCGTGGTAGGGTGTCCCCGTGGTAGGGTGTCCCCCTTGAAGGGTGTCCCCGCGGTACGGTGTCCCTGTTGAAGGGTGTCCCCCTGGTACGGTGTCCCCCTGGTAGGTGTCCCCCTGACACGGTGTCCCCGTGGTACGGTGCCCCCGTGGTAGGGTGTCCCCGTTGAAGGGTGTCCTCCTGGTACGGTGTCCCTGAGGTAGGGTGTCCCTGTTGAAGGGTGTCCCCGTTCTAGGGTGTCCCCGTTGAAGGGTGTCCCCCTGGTACGGTGTCCCTGTGGTAGGGTGTCCCCGTGGTGGGGTGTTCCAGTTGAAGGGTGTCCCCCGTGGTACGGTGTCCCCGTCCTAAGGTGTCCCCGTGGTACGGTGTCCCCGTTCAAGGTTGTTCCCGTTCTAGGGTGTCCCTGTGGTACGGTGTCCCTGTTCTAGGGTGTTCCCGTTCTAGGGTGCCCCCGTGGTACGGTGTCCCCGTTCTAGGGTGTTCTCGGTCTAGGGTGTCCCCGTTCTAGGGTGTTCCCGTTCTAGGGTGTCCCCGTGGTACGGTTTTCCCGTTCTAGGGTGTCCCCGTTCTAGGGTGTTTCCGTTCTAGGGTGTCCCCGTGGTACGGTTTTCCCGTTCTAGGGTGTTCCCGTTCTAGGGTGTCCCGGTGGTAAGATGTCCTCGTGGTAGGATGTCTCCACATGTACTAACCCATATGTACTGCCATACATGTACTAACACATGTCCTGACACATATGTACTGCCATACATGTACTAACACATGTCCTGACACATATGTACTGACACATATATACTGATACATATATATTGACACATGTACTGACACATCTGTACTGCATGACATATATGTCAGTACATCTGTGTCAGTACATCTGTGTCAGTACATATGTGTCAGTACATCTGTGTCAGTACATATGTGTCAGTACATATGTGTCAGTACATCTGTGTCAGTACATCTGTGTCAGTACATCTGTGTCAGTACATATGTGTCAGTACATATGTGTCAGTACAATTGTGTCAGTACATCTGTGTCAGTACATCTCTTCGTACATCTGTGTCAGTACATCTGTACCAGTACATCTGTGTCAGTACATCTGTGTCAGTACATATGTGTCAGTACATCTGTGTCAGTACATCTGTGTCAGTACATCTGTGTCAGTACATCTGTGTCAGTACATATGTCTCAGTACATATGTGTCAGTACATCTGTGTCAATACATATGTGTCAGTACATATGTGTCAGTACATATGTGTCAGTACATATGTGTCAGTACATCTGTGTAAGTACATCTGTGTCAGTACATATGTGCCAGTACATATGTGTCAGTACATCTCTGTCAGTACATCTCTGTCAGTACATCTCTGTCAGTACATCTCTTCGTACATCTGTGTCAGTACATCTGTGTCAGTACATCTCTTCGTACATCTGTGTCAGTACATCTGTGACAATACATCTGTGTCAGTACACATGTGTCAGTACATCTGCGTCAGTACATATGTTTCAGTACATATGTGTCAGTACATATGTGTCAGTACACATGTGTCAGTACATCTGTGTCAGTACATCTGTGTCAGTACATCTGTGTCAGTACATCTGTGTCAGTACATCTGTGCCAGTACATATGTGTCAGTACATATGTGTCAGTACATCTGTGTCAGTACATCTGTGTCAGTACATTTGTGACAGTACATATTTGAAGTACATGTGTTAGTACATCTGTGTCAGTACATCTGTGTCAGTACATCTCTTCGTACATCTGTGTCAGTACATCTGTGTCAGTACATCTGTGTCAGTACATCTGTGTCAGTACATATGTGTCAGTACATATGTGTCAGTTCATCTGTGTCAGTACATATGTGTCAGTTCACATGTGTTAGTAAATTTGTGTCAGGACATATGTGGCAGTACATATGTGTCAGTACATATGTGTCAGTACATCTATGTCAGTACATCTGTGTCAGTACATATGTGTCAGTACATCTCTTCGTACATATGTGGCAGTACATATGTGTGAGTACATCTGTGTGAGTACATCTGTGACAGTACATCTGTGTCAGTACATCTGTGTCAGTACATATGTGTCAGTACATATGTGTCAGTACATATGTGTCAGTACATCTGTGTCAGTACATCTATGTCAGTACACCTGTGGCAGTACATATGTGTCAGTACATATGTGGAAGTACATCTATAACAGTACATCTGTGTCAGTACATATGTGTCAGTACATCTGTGTCAGTACATCTGTCGCAGTACATATGTGTCAGTACATATGTGTCAATATATCTGTGGCAGTAAATCTATGTCAGTACATTTGTGTCAGTACACATATATCAGTACACCTGTGTCAGTACACATGTGGCAATACACCTATGGCAGTACATATGTGTCAGTACATCTATGTCAGTACATCTGTGTCAGTACAAAAGTGTCAGTACATCTGTGTCATTACATCTGTGGCAGTACACATGTGTCAGTACATCTGTGTCAGTACATCTGTGGCAGTACATTTGTGGCAGTACACTTGTGTCAGTACATATGTGTCAGTACATGTGTTAGCACATATGTGTCAGTACATATGTGTCAGTATATATGTGTTAGTACATTTGTGTCACTACATATGTGTGAATACATGTGTCAGTATATATGTGTCAGTATATATGTGTTAATATATATGTGTCAGTACATATGTGTTAGTACATATGTGTAAGTACATATGTGTTATTACATATGTGTCAGTACATCTGTGTCAGTACATCTGTGTCAGTACACATATGTGTCAGTACATATGTGTCAGTACATATGTGAAAGTGCATCTGTCAGTACATCTGTGTCAGTACATCTGTGTCAGTACACATATGGCAGTACACCTGTCTCAGTACATCTGTGTCAATATATATGTGTCAGTACATCTGTGTCAGTACATATGTGTCAGTACGCAAGTGTCAGTACATATGTGTCAGTACATCTGTGGCAGTACATCTGTGGCAGTACATTTGTGTCAGTACATCTGTGTCAGTACATCTGTGTCAGTACATCTGTGTCAGTACATATGTGTCAGTACATATGTGTCAGTACATCTGTGTCAGTACATAGGTGTCAGTACATCTGTGTCAGTACATCTGTGTC